ACATGAGAAACAGGAATATCAATCTAGTCTTCGAGCACTGGAAGTAAAGCAGCATCCAACAAAAGCCTGTCGCTGACCCAAGCATTCTGCCAGAATCTGATCTTTTCCCTAGTACCAACTCTCCACCGAAGGCCTAGCCATAATACATCTCTACACCATAAAATACTCTTCCACGTAACAGAGGAAGTTGAGTTGATGTTGCAGGACATGAAACTTCCACGCTGAAGGTATTTTTGAGTAAAAGCCCGGCACCATGGCTTCTTTGGGTTAGATAGCAATTGCCAACCAAGCTTTGCTATTAAAGCTCGATTATTATCCTTAGCCGAATGTATCCCTAGACCCCCTTGAGTTCTGGGTAAGCAAACAGAGTGCCAATTAACAAGATGGGGTTTATTTGCTACATCAGACCCCTAAAGAAAATTCCTATTCAATCGATCAATAGCTACACAAACATTATCTAGAAGAAGTATTGACTGCATTGTGTATGTAGGTATTGCGGAAGTAACTGATTGAACCAGAACCCTTCTCCCTACCATGCTCAACATTTTCTATTTCTAGCTGGATAGCTTTACTTGGATTTTCTCAAGTAAGTGCTTATAAGTATCTTTTGTTTGCCTTCCATGTAAAATGTGAACTCCCAAGTACATTCCCATATCACTTGTGAAAGGAATTCCACAAGCATTACTAAGAGACGTTGCTACATGCCTTTGTATATTCTACGATACATAAAGCTTAGATTTAGCTAAATTAATGTCTAACCCATATTCCATTGAGAATTCTCTTATACAGTCCATGACCACTTACACTTGATTTTGAGTTGCTGTACAAAAAAACATGAGATCATCGGCAAAAAAGAGATGTGAAAGCTCTAATCCTGCTCTAGAGATTTTGAATGGTCGCCATATCCGGGATTGCACACGGCTTTGAATTTTGTGAGAGAGCTTCTCCATAACCATAATAAAAAGATAGGGGGATAGAGGGTCACCTTGGCGATAATAAGACACTATCATTATTTAAATGAACCTCACTTAAATAACAATTATGAAGACAATTGGATTTTTACTTTCCTTTTTTTTAATAATTGATTTAGTTATAAAACTTCCCTTGCTTCTTTATTATTATTATTTTTTAACAATATTACCAAGAGATAGACTAGAATCCGCTCAACGAGAAAGGAAGAATGCACCTCAAGGTGGCCAAAAATCACTTGACCTGAAGGACAGGTGCCCTTGCTTCTTTATTTTCTTTAATCTAAATATATTATTATATATTATTAGACTATTGAGTCTACTTTCAGCCAAACAAACTAGCGTACGTCAATACTTCTTCTTCTTTTAATTAATTATAAAAATCTGAATTTGAAACTTTTGTTTGAACGACCAAAATCTCATTAACAATCCAAGATAACTTTTTCATTAGTAATCATCATTAATAAGTAATGCAAATGTCGGACTTGGGCCTTTGGTTAGTGATGTCAAGTCACGTTTAAATGCATCCTCCTTTTTTCGGTAACTATTCGAATCCAATCCTTCGTAAAAATTCTTCAAAAAAAGAAATAATGCAAATGTCCGAATCGTCATATACCTACATTACTTTTTTATTTACATTCACAATTTTATAAGTGCAGTTATCTATACCTATAATTTACTTAATTATATATATATGATTTAAATATATTTATGTATTTTAAAGAATTATAGAAATATTGTGGCTTTACTTACGAAAATGACTTAATGTAGATATGAAAAGAAAACTTATACTTATAGCCAAGATTAATTATAGGTATAGAAGCCACCTATACTTATAAATTTCCAAAAACCATAACTATAATACATTACTTTTGTTAACCCTTTGGGGGAAAAAAAAAAACCAGAAACTTATGTTGGCCAAAAAAAAAAACCTAACTACAAATTCATGAGAGAAGCAAAATAAATAAATAAATAAAATCTCACATCACTTAAAAATAAAAAGTAAAGCTTATTAACACCTTATATAAAAAAAAAATGCCTAAATCCCACATCACTTAAAAATCAAAAGTAAAGCTTATTAACATTCCATATAAGAAAATACCTAAATCTCACATTGGTTAAAAACAAAAAATATAACCTACAAATACCTTATATAAGAAAGATTTAAAATATATTAATTAAATTTTTAAAGTTTTACAGTGATGAACTTGGACTAAATAATTTTATTATTGGCTTTTAAACATTTTATTATTATAATAATGATTATTATTTAAAATTATTTGAATTAAATATATATTTTAAAATAATAATAATAATTAATTTTATATTAAAAGTCGTATTGAAAATTTTTTAAATTTCATTTTCATTTTTGTTACAACTTATGATGTTACTGTAAAATGCACTTTTTTGCATCAACTTATATGATTTTTTAATAATATATTTAGTAATGATTAATATTATTGTGAAATATTCATTTTACATACAATAAAATTCATACGATATAAACTTTTTTTATTACAATTTATAGTATTGTTAGATAATATATTTAGTAATAACAAATATTTTTTTTATAAAAAATAAAAAAATATATTAAATAATAA